TTCCATACACCAAATATAGTTGACCTATTGCATATAGTATTATTAAAAAATTCGTAAGGGTTCCGCGAAACCCAGTGTCTCGCCTACTTTTTGCTGTTAATCACAGGCTCAACAAAAATGAGGAAAAAAATTAATAAAAATATTCCTCTCTATACTATCTTTTGATTGTAAGTAGCTTCTGTCCAAGTTTGGTAAAAATCCAGGATAGTTTATGAATCTAATAAATGTTTTAAAAACTTAAACTGCAGACTGTATGTAATGTTAACTGGAAGAAAAACTAAGTCCATTTATAAGTAAAATACGGAAAAAATGGAACAAAATTTCCTTCTAGATACTAGCTTTTAATCATAAACAAGCTTCTGTCCAAGTTTGGTACAAATCCAGGATAGTTTAAGAAAGTTATTAAAATTTCAAAAACTTTAACCACAGAGTGAATGTAATGTTTCCTGGCAGAAAAACTAAGTCCATTTATAAGTAAAATACGGAAAAAATGGAATTTTTTTTTAACAAAATTTACTTTTGAATATTATCTTATGATCATAAACAAGCTTCTGTCCAAGTTTGGTACAAATCCAGGATAGTTTAAGAAAGTTATTAAAATTTCAAAAACTTTATCCACAGAGTGAATGTAATGTTTCCTGGCAGAAAAACTAAGTCCATTTATAACTAAAATACTGAAAAAATGGAATTTTTTTTTTTACAAAATTTACTTTTGAATATTATCTTATGATCATAAACAAGCTTGTCCAAGTTTGGTAGAAATCCAGGATAGTTTAAGAAAGTTATTAAAATTTCAAAAACATTAACCACAGTGAATATTTGTGGACGCCGCCGACGACAACGACGACGACGACGCCGACGGAATGTAGGATCGCTATGTCTCGCTTTTTCGACAAAAGTCGAAGGTTCGACAAAAATACCAAAACACAAAAACTTAACTTTAACCACTGAACCATGAAAATGAGGTCAAGGCCAGATGACACCTGCCAGTTGGACATGTACACCTTGCAATCATTCCATACACCAAATATAGAAGACCTATTGCTTATAGTATCTGATATGGACTTGACTTAACCTTGTTAACTGATCCATGAAATGAGGTCGAGGTCAGATGAAAACTGTCTGAGGGGCATGAGGACCTTGCAAGGTAAGCACATATTAAATATAGTTATCCTATTCTTCATAATAAGAGAGAAATTAAAATTACAATAAATTGCCTCGCCAAGCGCAGCTGGTCCAACCCTGAAGTGTTGGGGCAAAAATGGACACATTATTCACGCTTAATACAGGTCTGAATTTGGATTGTAATTAAATATCTGACACAAAATACTGTAGTCAAAGAACTTAGAATTGGATATATGATTTGAATTTATATTCAATTTTTTGCTTTTGTGCAATACACTATGCTGTTGCGAATTGACCCCCCCCCCCAAAAAAAAAAAAAAATCCCCCCCCCTTTTTTATGCCAAAATTAATTTCTGAAATCTGAAATGAGAAAAAATTATCCCCCCTCACAATTTCTTCCCCCCCCCCCCCATAATTTAAAAGCAGTGTAAGGGAGGTAATCCAAACATAACATTGTACTTTTTTTTTAAATTGTCCATTAACCAGGAAACCCTTGTTTTCCCCCTAATTCCTAAACGGTTTGAGCCATAACCCCCCAAAGCCAATCCTAACCATCCCTGTGTGGTATGGAAACTTGTGCTATAATTTCAGAGAGATCCATACACCGTTCCACAAGTTATTGTCTGGAAACTAGAAAAATGCTTATTTGGGCCCCTAATTCCTAAACTGTTAGGACTATAACCCCCAAAATCAATCCCAAACTTCCTTTTGTGGTTATAAACCTTGTGTTTAAATTTCATAGATTTCTATTTACATTTACTAAAGTTATTGTCTGGAAACTAAATGTCTTCGGACGACGCTAACGCTGACGACGTGATACCAATATATGACCGCAAAATTTTTTTTGTGGTCATATAAAAAATCTTTTTTTTCAAGTAGTCACAGAACCATGGAAATGAGTTCAAGGACAATGGACATATGACAGACGGAAACTTCAAAACATAAGGCATCTTCATACAAAGTATGAAGCATCCAGGTCTTCCACCTTGGAAAATAAAAGCTTTTAAGAAGTTAGCTAACGCCGCCGGATACTATCTCTATGTCGAGCTTTCTGCGACAAAAGTTGCAGGCTCAACAAAAATTAATATTGAACAATGAAACATAAAAATGCCTTCAAGGTCAGATAAACCCTGCCAGCCAAACATGTACACTTAATTCCATGTTTCAAATATAGTTGACCAATTGCATATAAATGTCCAATGAACCACAAAAAAAAACTCACAAAAATGTACACCTAACAATTATACAATACATCAAATACAAGCTGCTGAATTACTTCTAGTATATGAGAAATAGACCATGCACAAAAACTTGACATTGACCACTGAACCATGAAAATGAGGTCATGGTCAGATGAAACCTGCCAGTCGGACATGTACAGCTTTCAATAATTCAATACACAAAACATAGTTGACCTATTGCTTATAGTATCTGAAATACGCACTTGAATAAAACTCAATCACTGATACATGAAATGAGATCGAGGTCAGGTGAATCATGTCTGACAGACATTTAGACCTTGCAAGGATCCCATTTACCAAATATAGTTTTTTTAATTACTCATAATAATCTAGTATTTAACATTACAAATAACTATAAATTATTTCCAAGCAGCTGCTGAACCATGAACATGACAGACAGAAACTTCGTAACATAAGGCATCTTCATACAAGGAATGAAGCATACAGGTCTACCTTCTGAAATATAAAGATTTACACAAATAGTTTACGTCATCGCCGCTAGATTGAAAATCTTAAGTCTCACATTCTCGTCCCAGGCTAGACAACAATCTACTGTGTGCTAACAAAACTGAGTCATTTCATGCATATTCTGGATGAGAGTCCAATAGGTAGGTTTGCAAAGAGGAACGGTCGGGATGAAGGAAAGGAAATTTAAATTAACACTGGCAAAAGAGGTCATGCTGGATAGGGCAGAAAGTTTGCCTTGAAACAGGCCACATAAATTGGATTTAATGTTCACAAGTTATTGCATGGAAAGGACCTAAAGTGCCATTTTCCAATTTATCAAGCGAGTTATGGCCCATATGAACGGTAAAAATGAAAATTGTCAATATCCACCTTGACCTCTAGCTAGTAACAACATATCAAAATTTAAAACGAATTGGTGGAACAGTTCAAAAGTTACTGCATAGAAACAACAGAAAGTGCCATTTTCAAAACAATCAAGGATGTATGGATGGATGGCTGTTTTTAACCTCCAGTTGCAAATTAAATGAATATTAAGGACGAGAACGTGATAATGTAACATGAATATAGACCCTGCTTTGTACTAGACCAACATGCTGAGCCAGATGGTTTAACGTGCTAGTTCACAAGATAAGTCCAATGGAAGACATGTCACTTTACCAAGCTACATTATTCTGATTCCGACCCAACCAGTCTTTGTTCTAAAAAACCGAATGCAGGAAAGCAGCAAATACCAAATTTCAAATCTTTGGTTTTACCCACCCAGGGATCATTACCAAGAGACCACTGAGGCAATTAAATCAATCAAGGACCATAACTCCTGAACAGTAAAAGTGAAAATTGTCGATATCAAACTTGACCTTCATTTTGTCATCAGTAACAACATAAGTAAATTTGAAAACCATTGGTTGAACACTTCGTAAGTTATTGCATAGATACGAAAGAAAGTGCCATTTTCCAACCTATCAAGGACCACGACTCCTGAACAGTAAAAGTGAAAATCAACAATATCCAACTTGACCTCCATTTTGTCATTAGTAGCAACATATTAAATTTGATGCTGGAAATAGATTTGAAGCCTACATATATAAAAAGAATAACTTACACTATCTACCCCCTGTCATAGATTACCATAGCTATATTTCACAAAATCTTTTGGAATTTTTGGTTCTCAATACTCTGCAACTTCATACTTGACTGGCCTTCCAAGTATTTTATTTCAAGCATTACTGATGAATCTTATGTATACAGAACACGTGTCTGGCGTACCTAATCTAAAACCTGGTATCTTTGATGATTTTTATCACCACTGGGTCAATGCCTCTACTGGTGGACAAATTGTCCCAGAGGGCAACATCACCCCAGTACTCACCACTTTAGTGTTGACATGAAATATCATTGATACAATCATTTTTAAGCATTTACTGTTTACAAATCGTTGAATTATTCAAAAACACTAAGGATATCTACCCTATTGGTATTTATTACCTTAGCTGTATTCGGCAAAACTTTTAGAATTTTTGGTTCTCAATGCTCATTAACGTCATACTTGATTGGTTTGTATTTAGTGCACATTTCATTTTGGCTTTTTTCTCCTTTATTAAAAGGGTTAAATTATCTGGTTACTTACATTCAGTAATTCCATTTATGTCACTGTTACGTCATAAAAAGTGTAACAATTATCAAATTTAACCAAAAATTGCCATTTTAACCGTAAGTTTTGCTGAAATGGTAACCTAAGTATAGTCTTACATTGGTTGACTGATTGCTTGGATGCCAACAGCAAATGTACCTTGCAAATTCAGAACAATTACATTTTAATGTTATAGGAATTTTCTCTGCTTTGTAATTGCTTGGAACAACAAAATTTAAAGTGAGTCTACTCTTTTTGAAAGCAATCACATTCCCCAAGGTGCATTCTTCCACTAATTTGTATAATTACCAGCAGATGAAAAACTTAATATGAGTCAATGAATCCTTGAAACTATAGCAACAGGTACCCATGTAACACAGTGAATGTAGCAATAATCTGATGGCATGTGCTCTCCAAGATGCAGCTGCATACCAAATTACACTAATGAATGACAATAAGGTTTTTGATGAACTACATTCGGACATCTAAAAAGATGAGATGTTGTTCTTTTTACAAAAAAATCTTATAAATAAAAATACTCTCAAGAATATATATATTGAGTTACAGCTAGTAAGACAAAAAAAAAATTTATTATCTTTTATTTCTCTTTCCTCTTTTTGCTTTACTATTGTTTTTGTTTCCTTTACTTCCTTTGCCTCCTTTTTTATCTGTTTTCTGTCTTTTTGAACTGGAATAAAAAAAGAATATATTTAAGATAAAAATTAAATAATAATTCATACACAAATACATTTTTAATTTATACCTTTTAATATATGTTTTTTCTTAACGATTTTTTTTTATTGACAATATGATTTGTCTTAAATGAAAAGAGGATATGAAAAGTCTCCTTATTGGATTATAAAAAATATGAGAAAAGTATTCATTTCATCAATAAATCATATAAATCACGTTTGGCATTTCAATTTCCTCATATATTGAAAGAAAAATATTTCATTGTTAAGTCTTTTATGAGTCTTTAATTCATATTTTGAACAATTTTGTATTCACTATTTAAACCAATTTTACAATGTGTTTACTTGTAACTTTAAAGAACATAGTGTAAAAACAACATTTCTTTTTTCTAACACCAATCACACAGATTGTTAAATAACTTGAGTTTCTACACACAGATTTAGCCACTAAGTACAAGTGTACTATATGTGGATTAAAATGCCAAGACATCTGATTTGTTTTTATCAAGCATCTCTGCTAATTTCTGTCTGTTATGATTTTTACATTGCTGGAAAGAACAATCAAAACTTTGATATGAAATAAATCTTACCGGTAATATTTTTTACTAATGACAATTAACCATTTCCTTTGACACTGAATATTTTGACAGTATGAAGATATACATATAATGTGTTTACCGTGTTCTGTCTTCGTCTTTTACATGTGTATTTACAGCTTGAGTTATATCTAATATTGGTGTTTTATTCAAAACATTATTTAATATATCTAACTGCTTTGTATTTTCTTTCTTCACATCTCCATAGTTAGGTTCAAACTGAAATACAAATTTATATTCGTTTTTCATATTGACTTAATCTTGTGTTGATATATTTTGGCTTTTAGTTTTGCTTTGGACAAAGCATTAGTAATAAGGTCATACTGTAGATTCGTCGTTTTTGGTGGATACCAATTTTCATGAATTGATGAAAATTACAATAAATTGTATATTCAATGTCACAATTTTGTGAAAGTCTGGATACAAGTCTACAGAAAATTTGTACTCCATTGAACAATTGAATTCATGTTTTATCTATGCTTATGAAATCCATGAAAATTGATATCCAACAAATAAAAATGAACCCACAGTAATATTATAACCCAGGTAATACAATGTGACATTTACTTTGGTAATTGTGGCAAAAATGTAGTTAATAAAAAATATTCAAATTATTCTTGTAGCAACACGGTATTCTACCAATAAAATCATATTTTTTGTGTAATGTCACAGCATTCATTCAATTAATTTCAGGGCCATAATACAAATAATTTTGACCTCATCAGGTAAAATATTTCATTGTCAGATCACACATATAGTAAATTCCAGATAATGTTTGAACATTAGTGACTGTCTACAACATTATTGTATAGCTTTTCATGTCTATAAAATTCTGCCATTTTTCAAAAATAAAGTAAATAAGCTGGTGCTGAATGTTATTTACTTGAATGTAACCAAATATCTAACTGGAATATAACACAAACAAAACAAGCATTCTGAGGGTATTACGTGTGCAATAGTAATTAGTCATTTCTATCTGATTATCAATTTGTTCAGAATATTTCTTTAAAGATTTGGATATTTTCAACAACTGCCACACCAATCCAACCCCTGAGGAAACAAGTTGATTTTTTCTAGCACTTTTCTATGTCCAAGGGCCACAACTTCTTAAAAATTGCTACAAAAGTCAACTTTATCTATTTTTCAAATTTTTTTCTATTTTCAGTAACAGTGATCTTGACCTTTGACTTATTGACCCCCAATTACCCTGTTTCAACTCTTTCCTCTATCTTCCATCTGTATAAGTTTCATTCCAATCGACCAAGGGATACTTAAGTTATCATCCGGAAACCATTTGTTTCGGAACAGATTGTAATTTTTTAAGGGGAACATAATTAGATGTTGCAATATGTATACCATTGTATATTGCAAATACATAATGCTACTTTTGATCATCATTTATATTTTAACATTTTTTAGAAAAAGGAATTCTGATGACAATATGTACTTATTTCTGGAACAAGCCATGTCAACAGTGCAATCCATATTATAATAATCTTCTTACCTTTCTCTTCTTTCCAGTAAATTTTGAAGGTTTTTCTTTAGGTAATGATTCTGTAAACTTTCCTATTGATGCTGTAGATTTCTTTGCTATTGCCAATGCTTTACCAAGATGATCTTTAGAAGGAGCAATTGTTGGTGTTAATCCAACCCCAGGAACTGAAATTTAAAGTAAACTGTTGACACAGAGATACTTCTCGCCATTTATATAATTTTGATATATAACATAATGCAACCGTTGAAAATAAAAATACCAATAAACTTGACTTACATGTAAACCATGCAAAACATTCAAAGTCAATGAACCATGACTGAAGGTGCAGGGCCAAGTAACCTTTGTGAAAATGAGAAATGCCAATGCTTATTCAACTCTTTACCAAATACCGTTGACTTACGAAAAGTGATTACCTCAAAACTGATCAAAACATAAGTTTAACATGTCAACTAAACAAAAGTTTGAAAGTCATTATGCAATGACTGAGGAGGCTGCCCATATTATATCCATGAAAAAGAGATTTACCAATGCTCATACAACTGCATACCAAATATCATTGACTTATCAATAGTGGTTCACCTTAAACTGACCTAAACACAAACTTTATGTGTAAACTATGCAATAGTATCAAAGTCAATAGACCATGACTTAGGGGGTGGGGTCAAATAATATCAATGGAAAGATGTGCCAATGCTTATACAACTGCATACAAAATATCATTAACCTTCCACTAGTGGTTCTCATTAAATTGACCTTATCACTTACAAATACATTGTTAAAGCTGCCACGGCCGCCACTGGAAACAGCATGCCTAAGTCTAGCTTTGTCAACTTCCTTATGAGACAAAAACCAAAACATTTAAGGATATAAAGTTGAGACAGAAATATGTCTAGCCTGTCAGCAGAAAATTAGAAAAAGACAATCTGATGGACAGCAACATTGCTAATCAATTCAAAGTTGCTGGAATATGACCTAGGGAGAGGGCATCCAAAATGTTGTTAAACTGATGTGTACTGATAGTAATGCAACTTTATATAAAAAATCATTGATCTATCACAGGAGGTTCCTATCAAACTAACTTAAGCAGAATTGTTGACATATCCTCTGCCACTGCCCCTGGAAAAGCAACACCTATGTTGCCCTTCCCGCGACAGGCGAGACAAAAATGATAATTAGAGGTAATATGATCAAGCTAATAAAATGAAACCCCCAGTGCTAATATAAGTAATAGTGAAAGTATGTGATAAAGCATAACAAATAAATCAGTTATCTGGTAGTATTTGAGTTCAACTGCCCTTCAAGCTTATCTTTAAATGGTGAACAACCTTTATGTAAAATTTTACTTTATTCAAAAAGCCTGTATTGCTCACTAGGAATAATTGCATTTAATTGAAAAAATTCAATGATATAATCTGACATTTTCAAAAGAAAAGGTAAAAAATCTATGAAAATCATTATTCAAGGACCATCCATAACTCCTATAATGAGTTGACAGATGATCTTAATCTTTTTTGAAGGTCTAATAGCAAATGGGTATAGCTTGTGATTCAAGGGTAATAACTCCTATAAGGGATCTACTGATGATTTTTGCCATGTTCAATTGTTTGTATATCTTGTGTTGCTGATTGTTTTTGCTTTTAACAATTTCTTTCGATCTTCCACGAAAATGTGTAAAATTCATCATTCAAGGGTTATAACTCCTATAACAAGTCACTGACGATTTCCACCATATTGACTATAAATTTGTAGATCTTGTCCTGCTGATCATTTTTGGCCATTTACACTTTCATCTTATCTTTTAAAATTTTCTTCCAAGATAATATTCAAAATAGCAAAATCAATGTTGATTTTTTTCATTTATGGACAATAACTCTTATAAGAAGTTGTCTGATAGTATTGAATAAAATGCTTCGCTGGGCGCAGCTTGATACGACCGCAGAGGTCGAACCCTGAACAGTTGGGGCAAGTATGGACACAACATTCAAGCTTGATACAGCTCTGAATTTGGATTGTGATTAAATATTTGACACAGCATAGGTTTCTGACACAGAAAGAATGTGGTCTAAGAACTTCAATTTTTTTAATTTACCTATTATGGTCCAATGTCCAAAATCAAAATACATGGTTAGATTCAGCATATCAAAGAACCCCATATATTCAATTTTGTTGAAATCAAACAAAGTTTAATTTTGGACCCCAACTTGGACAAACTTGAAAACTGGTCCCATAATCAAAAATCTAAACACATGTTTAGATTCAGCATATCAAAGTACCCAAAGAATTCAATTTTTGTTAAAATCAAACTAAGTTTAATTTTGGACCCTTTGGACCTTAATGTAGACCAATTTAAAAAAACGGGACCCAAAATTAAAAATCTAAAAACACGGTTAGATTTGGCATATCAAAGAACCCCAATAATTCAATTTTTGATGAAATCAAACAAAGTTTAATTTTGGACCCTTTTGACCTCAATATGAACCAATTTGATAGCGGGCCCACAAATAAAAAATCTAAATACATGGTAAGATTCAGCATATCAAAGAACCCCATATATTCAATTTTTGTTGAAATCAAACAAAGTTTAATTTTGGACCCCAATTTGGACCAACTTGAAAACTGGGCCAAAAATCTAAAATCTAAATACATGTTTAGATTCAGCATATCAAAGAACCCCATATATTCAATTTTTGTTGAAATCAAACAAAGTTTAATTTTGGACCCCAACTTGGACCAACTTGAAAACTGGTCCCATAATCAAAAATCTAAACACATGTTTAGATTCAGCATATCAAAGAACCCCAAAAATTCAATTTTTGTTAAAATCAAACTAAGTTTAATTTTGGACCCTTTGGACCTTAATGTAGACCAATTTAAAAAACAGGACCCAAAATTAAAAATCTAAATACACGGTCAGATTTGGCATATCAAAGAACCCCAATAATTCAATTTTTGATGAAATCAAACAAAGTTTAATTTTGGACCCTTTTGACCTCAATATGAACCAATTTGATAGCGGGCCCACAAATAAAAAATCTAAATACATGGTAAGATTCAGCATATCAAAGAACCCCATATATTCAATTTTTGTTGAAATCAAACAAAGTTTAATTTTGGACCCCAATTTGGACCAACTTGAAAACTGGGCCAAAAATCTAAAATCTAAATACATGTTTAGATTCAGCATATCAAAGAACCCCATATATTCAATTTTTGTTGAAATCAAACAAAGTTTAATTTTGGACCCCAACTTGGACCAACTTGAAAACTGGGCACATAATCAAAAATCTAAACACATGTTTAGATTCAGCATATCAAAGAACCCTAAGAATTCAATTTTTGTTAAAATCAAACTAAGTTTAATTTTGGACCCTTTGGACCTTAATGTAGACCAATTTAAAAAACGGGACCCAAAATTAAAAATCTAAATACACGGTTAGATTCGGCATATCAAAGAACCCCAATAATTCAATTTTTGATGAAATCAAACAAAGTTTAATTTTGGACCCTTTGGACCTCAATGTGGACCAATTTAAAAACGGGGCCAAAAATCCAAAAACTTAATACACGGTTAGATTTCAGCATATTAAAGAACCCCAAGAATTCAAGAATAAAACCCCATTGAAATTGATCAAGAAATAAGCAATTTATACGAAGTATCTTCTTTTGCACAATACTGTGCAATTGAATATTTCTTGCTATTGCGCAATACTGTACAATTGACAATTTCTTGCTATTGCGCAATATTGTGCTATTGGATATTTCTTGCTATTGCGCAATACTGTTAAATTGAAGATTTCTTGCTATTGCGCAATACTGTGCAATTGAAGATTTCTTGCTATTGTGCAATACTGTGCAATTGAAAATTTCTTGCTATTGCACAATACTTATTATATAATAATTTACACATCCTGTTTGGTGTGTATCTCCTACCATATCATTATTATTTGCTTTTAAATATAAATCAGAAATAACCAACTTAAAATGGAAAATTTTAAAAGAATAAAAAAAGGAAAAAAAAGAAAAAAAAAAAAAAAAAAAAATCCCCCCCCCTCCAAATTTTTTGAACCCCCTTATGATTCATCACCCCCAAACTCAATCCCAGCCTTCCCTTTGTGGTATGGTACCTTGCAGTACAATTTCAGAGAGATCCATACACTTGAACACAAGTTATTGTCTGGAAACTAGAAAAATGCTTATTTTTGGCCCCTTTTTGGCCCCCAATTCCTAAACGTTTCGGGCAATTACCCCCAAACTCAATTCCAGTTTTCCCTTTGTGATATGGAACCTTGTAGTACAATTTCAGAAATATCCAAACACTTACACACAAGTCATTGTCATGAAACTAGAAAAATGCTTGTTTTTTGCCCCTTTTTTGGCCCCTAATTCCTAAAATTTTGAGGCAATTACCCCCAACATCAATTACAGCCTTCCCTTTGTGATATGGAACCTTGTGGTACAATGTCAGAGAGATCCATACACTTACACACAAGTTATTGTCTGAAAGTTACAAAAATGCTTATTTTTGGCCCCTTTTTGGCCCCTAATTCCTTAACTGTTGGTACCATAACCCCCAAAATCAATCCCAACCTTTCTTTCGTGGTATTGAACCTTATGGTGAAATTTCATGGAGATCCATTCACTTAAACTAAAGTTAGAGTGCGAAAACCAATGTGTCTTCGGACGACGACGACGACGAGGACGACGCCAACGTCATACCAATATACGACCAAAAAATTTTTAATTTTTGCGGTCGTATAAAAAACAGATAGTAGGTAGATCTTGACATTCTGAACATTTCTGTTCCTGTCAGATGTTCTATTTTTATCCTTGGTGGTCTTGCTGGTTGGTAGGCAGGATCATCAAACATATTTTCTAAACTAGGTTCCCAAAGGATGATTTCTTAATGTTTGGTGCCAAAAACATATTCAGAGGAGAAGATTTATGTAAGTGTTAATGGACAATGACATACAACAGGAACCAATTGGTGTGTAAAGCTCACATGGTTCCATTGGCTAGGTGAGCTTTAAGGGGTCTTATAGATCTTGGTCTTTACTCTATTCCATTTTTCGTTATCTATAAATTTATTGATAAAAATATCAAATTTAGATTGAACAGATTCTATACCAGCATGAACTTTTTCTGAAAATTGTGAGGTTCCTTTAGGGCCTCATTTAATTGAAAAACAAAGTAGTACAGACTCATATGAATTTTGCATAAATTAATTAAGATGTGAAAGTTTATAAAATTCAAGATCTGTCAACCTATTCTTTAGAAGATCTTTAATTTTTTCATAAATAATAAGGTTTCACCTAAACATATCCTTATACATTTAAATAAAATGTAAGAGCAAAAATATATCAACTGCTTTTTAAAATGTAATTTGAGAAATCTGATCCCTTTCTTTCACGGATTTAAATTTATTCTTTTGATATACAACACCTATCAATCCACATCTAGTAGAAATAAAATAAAAATCGCTCTGAATAATATGTGTGATGTAATGCACCTAAATTATGCACAATACTGTATAAGATTGTGTGATTATATATAGTTAAGGAATGTAGAAATCTTTTGTTAAAATTATGTCATTCTGACACTGGTTACATTTAATGTACACTTTAACTGTCATGAAGTTGTCGTTCAATTAAGTTATCATCACTTTTTAATATTAAATACATCTTCACTTTTTCATACTGAATACATCTTCACTTTTTCATATTGAATACATCCTCCACAACATATCTGAGAAAATTGATGGCTACTTAAAATTCAGTAAATCAGTAAAATATCAATAAAGAGGAAAATTGTGTGAATTTGGTCAATACTCTCAGACACAGGTATCACTGATTAACAATGTTGATGGAGCATTTAAACAGAACCTTGGTGTATTATAATTCAACACTAAGTGACAATTTTATTACCAGAAAAGCATTGCAATCAGGATTTATGTACTGATGACCAAAAATTCTATTTTTGGCCAAAAAAACCCAAAATATTTCTATTTTTGATCAGACATGACTGGCAACTATGGCTGTTTTGGGATTTTTGTTTATACCCAATACTTTAAAGTCATAACAGACCCAAGTTAATGCATCTTACTGCATCTACTTACCTTTTGTCTTTTGTGACCTGGCAATATTTCTCAGTCTTTGTAATTCATTCTTAGAGGTCCTTTCTTGTTTCTTTTTCTTCCTTTTCTCAAACTGGTCTTCAAATGGATCTGCAAAAATTATATTAAAACATTTTTAAAAATCATCTCAAGTTCCAACAATATACTCCTGAATTCAGGAAAAATGCTAAAGAAATGGTTTTATTTTAATATAGTCTAAGTAATATTCAAATACGAGCAACAGGCTGATCTAACGAGGTGGTTTGCCAAGATGTTGGTGTGATTAAAATACTTTCTGCTTTAGCTCAGTAGTCAGGTGCTGACATGATTTATAACACATACTTATTTAAAATTCCCAGTTCATTAATTAAGATACTAAGGTTCCAACTCCCTCAGGCAGAGTTGACCTTAGATGAATTTGGGTATTTTGTTTAGATCCTTTTTGTTCATATAGCTTCTAACATTTCAGCTTAGTTACCCATCCCTGGCTTTCAAATGTTTAGGTTTGAGGTTCCTGACCAAGGTAAATACAGAAAAGTGTTCTTAGACACATGAAATTCATAGTGTTTATTTCATTTTGTAACAAAATTTCTTTTTAAGTAAGGCTCATATTTAAATATTAATGACAAAATCTATAAAAAAAAGGCTATTTTGACAGTTTTTCTTAAAATGCATGAGGTTTGGAACCCTAATTAAATGTGTATGTTTTCATTCCCAAATTCAAAGGTCAAAAAAGGTGGCCTTATCATATGTCAGATGATCATGAAAATATTTGTCTGAATTATATTTACAGGGGAAAAGACCTCATCTGGAAAACTTAACCTGACCAAAGGAACATCAAAAACAAGGTCAAGGTGAGGTGACAATGATTGGCTGCAAGAAAAGTCCAAACTACATTTTAATAAAAGTGTTGATATGATGTTGAGGTTATTAGCAAATCATACCAGCTGTTATTACTTGAAAAGTAATGCTTTTAGAGTTGCCTCTATTATATTTGTCTGATTTTAGACCCCAAAAAAATCCAATCCTTTTTTTCATAATTAAACTACCATTATGTTGTCATGGTCATACTGAAATATATGTAATTAAAGGGAAAAACATACTTTATTACATCATGGACATTAAAATGAGAAAATAATGAAACAAACAAATTTCAGCTATGATTCTTCAACTTGCCTGCATTTTGAGGAACTTCTATCAACCAATCTTTAGTATCATCATTTGCACGTTTATATCCCCATCTAGGTTTGTATTCCTGTAAAAGATCAAAGAAATGTAGATTGGCTAAATAATCTTTAAAATTCATAACTATTATGCTAATTGACATTGAATTTTTAACAAAACTGCCATCTTAGACTTGAGACAGCTTAATCAGAAATCTAAAAGAGTATCATCATCTGCAGATTATATCTGATAAACAGCTGCGCCATGAGCGCATGATACGCCCGTCGCTTTTTAAAAGAATAAAGTTCAATAACTTCTCAATGTCATATCAGAAATTTATGAAAAACTAAAGGAAGGTTATCTTAATAGACATAAACCAGTCACCAAAGTTTCATGAAAACTCCTCAAAGCACTTTAAAGATATTGTCCGAAAACCGAAAACTGGAAAATCACCCCTTTTTATGAATAAAATCCCATAACTCGGAAACATAAAATCTAAAATTTATGATAATTGAAAGGGAGCTTACATCAATAGATATAAAAAATTCACCAAAATTTCATGAAAACTGCAGAAAGCATTTTTGAGTTATTGTCCGAAAACTGGAAAATCATCCTTTTTTTCTAATAAATAAAACCCCATAACTCGGAAATAAAAAAATCTAAAATTAATAAAAATCGAAAGGGAGCTCAGCTTTACAATATATTTGTTCTTGGCATTTTCATTTGACGGAAACTAAAGATATCTTTGTTGACGATTGGGCAGATACTGCTTGGAACAAAATATCAACTAAAGATCCACAAATTATCTTTTAAGTGTGTGTGCGCATTGATTAACAGCTGGATTGAAGATATAGGCAATTGTCATATGCTAACCTCTTAATTATATAAATGTACTCTTCAAACATGAAGTTCATGAGCAAAGGATACAAAAAGGTGCTATATAGTATAGTAATATTTGAAAAAGCATGCTACTGAATATACTCAGGTCTGCAACTTGATTGTAAATATAGTAGACTGGACTTATTTCTATTAATAGGTTGCACTTAATACTAATGCAACTGCATACCAAATTCAAAGACTTATCTGATTAAAACACAAACTTAAATAGAAGAACATGTAAGACGACATGTGGACACATCACTATTGGTTGTAGTAAAAATAGTATTTGTATATACTTTTTGTCATTTACCAACACATATCAATATGTGAAAAAATGTGATGCACTTACTTTTGACTGTTCATCGTACACCATTCTACCTTTCTTCTTTTTATTTATACCTTTCATTCTGGCATACTCTTCCCATTTTGTCGCTTTTCTTTTTTTTGGCACCTAAAATACAATAAAAATAAATGGGGAATGTGTCCATGGGACACAGATGATGTCCCTGCTTGCATATCATATAAAGTTATAAAGGGGCATAACTGAAGAACGGTAAAAGTGACGCTACCTTAATTTGTACATGACCTGAGTTTTGTGGTAATAAGTATTGTGTATAAGTCTCATAACATTTGGTTGAGGCTAACTTAAGTTAGAGAACAGAAACAAAAAATTCAGCAAGTTTTTCATTTGTAAACAGGCAAAACTCTAGAACTGTTAAAGTGACAACACAAAAATTCAAACTTGATCTGTATTTTGTGGTAATAAGCATTGTGTATAAGTTTCATAACATTTGGTTGAGGCAAACTAAAGTTAGAAAACAGAAACCAAAAATTCAGCAATTTTTATGTTAATAAAGGGGCATTACTGAAGAACGGTAGAAGTGACGCCACCCAATTTCAACTTGATCTGTATTTTGTTGTAAGTAGCTTTGTGTATAAGTTTCATTACATTTGGTTGAAGCAAACTAAAGTTAGAGAACTGAAACGAAAAATTCAGCAATTTTTCCATTTGAAAAGGGGCATAACTTTAGAACGGTTATAGTGACGCCACCAAAATTCAAACTTGATCTGTGTTTTGTGGTAATAAGCAGTGTATAAGTTTCATAACATTTGGTTGAGGCAAACTAAAGTTAGAGAAATGAAACCAACTTTGGGATGTATGTAGATGCGTACGGACAGACGTACAGATGAACAAGGGTAAAACTTAATGCCCCCTCTGCTACAGCGGGGGCATAAAATAATAATGGACTGTTTTTCAGTAACAGGTTAAATTCTATTTTGCCAAACTGACCTACTTGTTTTGATTTAATCTTATGACATCTCTATGCAAGTTTCTTTGATCATTTAGATGAACTAACATGGCTGCAAGTGTTCAAAATTGCATAGATCATTAGTACAACTCCTTTTAATGATCAGTTAGTGCAACACTGAGATCAACCATCAACAGAAGTAATCCTTCATTAAATTATCTGTACCAACAACAAACAGGAGTAAACATTTGTACTTTAAATAACCATCCACTTTAATAACATACAAGAAGCTGTCAAAATGACAGCATACTGGGTTTTCCTAATATTTAGGTCTTTCCACTTTTCCTAATTTTTGTCCTTGCGCAGTATTGCTGTTTCGCAAGATGTGGCTTAGATGTTTGGTATATGATATCGAACAGTTTATACGCTTTTGAAACTGCCACTGCTTAACCGAACACTTTTCTTTGTAAGAGTTATCTCCCCAAACACTTTTTTTCCTGTGTCCACTACTCCTTCGCAAACTTAAAAGATTACGACAAAATTATTTTGCCAAATTGCTCATTACATCCTCAGGATGTTGAGAATAATTTTGACCGAAGCACTCCGTAGACTTCATATGAGAGCTATTTCCCCTTCAGTATTTGATATAAGTGAAAAGTAATAGTAATTTATATACCATAAGTGATAGAGACCTAAGGTCTTTCGATTTGAGGTCCTTGGTCCACAAAAATGAAAATCAGGTCAAAGTTAAAGGTCAAGGACATGTTCTTAATTTTAATTTTGGCTTATTTTGGCTTTTCCCCAGAAAATGTATAAGATATCGACAAAATATTTTACAAGATTGTAAGTTGTGACATGTCGTAACGCATAAATTTTGGTTGAAAGGGTACGTTGACAATTAATGGGAGTTTTCTCCCCTATTATATTAAAAATTAACTGGATGGTGGTATAACTCATTAACCATATATAGAAGGGACCTAGGGTCTTTTCATTTGAGGTCCTTGCTTTATGACCTTAAAATTAAGGTCAAGGTAAAAGTTGAATTTGACGTTCTAGATTTTGACCTTTACTGTAACTTCTTATTAGGACATGATAAAGTCATAGGGTCTTTTACATTTGGTTGCTGACATATCACGTTGAAGAAGGTCAACCGGAAGTGATCTTTTGTAAACCGGAAGTAGCCATTTTTGCATTATTTTCATGTAAAAGTTACTTAAACTTTATATATTTTCGGAATCAGTGTTAGGTTAGGTTCAAATGAAACCGGAAATGAAATTTTGTAAACCTGAAGTATCTACTTTTGGAATCAGCATAAGTTAATCATCTGACACCAGAATTGACATTTTAAACCGGAAATTCAATATTTTCCTATCAAAATATGAGTATTTGGGGTGGAAAGACCTTCAATTGTTCTCTGAACAATTGGTTTTTAATTTTAAGTGTCATTGTTCTAGCAATTAAGGACCATAACTCCTGAACAGCATAAGTGGAAATTGTCAGAATTTTACTCTACCTCCATTTTGTGATCAGAAACATATTAAAATTTGAAAAGAATTGGTTGAATAGTTATTAGGTTATTCCATGGACCAACATAAAGAGCTACTATTCTATTTTCCAGGATGATTTTACTCATGGTATAAAAAGAGTATCAAAAGATAATCACTGTGTTTATATAAAAAATTGTAAAAGATTAATACCAATTGACAAAATCAGAAATTTGCTAGAAAAGGTGAATAGAATCATCCCTATATTTTTCAATTATTCAAAGAAGATAACTCCTGAACAGTGAAAGTGAAATTGCTTAAATTGAATTTTACCTCAATTTTGTAATGGAAATTTTAAAAGGATTTGTTCAACAGTTTTCATGTTATCTAACCAAAGTGACATTATTTAATCAATTGAAGATTATAACCCGTGAACAACAAAAGTAAATATTTTCAAAACATTTTTATCATCAAAAAAACATATTTAAATTTGAAATGGAATGGTTGAAATGCTCAAAAGTTATCATACAGAAAAAGCATAAAGCCAAATGTACTTTTCTGACAGAAAAACTGGTTAAAAACTGTCGAATAATTTTCAAATGATATTTTTGCAAGACTGCAGAATTTTCTATTAATATTGTACCAATATGTATATTGAGGATATCCTGTAATTAATTGTACTTGAATATGAACTTTACATTACATTCTATTAATAAATATTTAATTTAAATGAAAACATTTGCTGTGTGTTTGTTTATTTCACATTCGTAAGAGGTATAGGGGAGGGTTGAAATCTCACAAAAAATGTTTATAACCCCGCTGCATTTATACGCCTGTCCCAAGACATAACCTCTAGCCTTTGTAAGTCTTGTGTGTTTTTTAATTTTGGTTCATTTATATGTTTCGGAGTTAATTGAGGCATCCATTTTGCTGAACTAGTATACATCAATGTTTAGGTGTCAGCTAAAGTCTGCCTATGGTGCGGCATTTTCTCACTGCGTTAAGACCCATTGGTGGCTTTGGGCTGTTTTCTCGGGTTGTCTCTTTGACACATTTCCTGTTTCCATTCTAAATTCTATTTAATAAACTATGATAAAATGTAACTTGAATACAAGATGGACATACATGCAAAATAGAATAACTATCTCTCATACAGATTCAGATATTTTTATTCCAATGTTGATGCACATGCATAGTCATCAGGATACAGCATGTCATTAACATCTCAACAGCCCAGCTCCTGTCAACTCTAACAAGCAAGTTGTTCAACACAAACTAAGGAAAGTTCTTACATCTTTTAGAGGGAAAGTCTGCAGACGATATAGTAACTAATTCAGTTAAAATGAGTCTTTATAATCTTAATAGTCAAACAATTTTATAAACATAATGGCCTCTCAAACACACTGCTGATTTCAATTATATTTTATTAAGAGACTTCATGAAACCTTTCAGGCGTGTTTTTTCGGGGTTTTTTTTTCTCTTGTGCAGCAGTTTTTTACAACAGCTGTGTCTACCTTAGCTAGCTTTCCAAATAACGTGCCATTTTTTATTTCTTTGTTTAAGGTTGAATGCACAGAATTTTTATTGTCAATTTTTATGACACATCAGGGTTTGACACTAACTAAATGTATGTACTAGCCTGCAGGGCTTGTGAAATTATTATTCTACTAGTCCTCTTGTCAATTCACTAGTCCTCCAAGTGCAGAGGGCACTTGGACGGTCGTGCCACCCGCACAACCCTATCTAGGAGGGTCTGGGGGCATGCCCCCCCAGAAAATTTTGATACAAATGAAGCTAAATCCTGTGTTCTGGAGCATTTCCAGAGGGTTTTGAACACGTTTTGTTACATGAAATTTCACTGGTTTGCTAATAAAAAATAACAAAAATCAAAAAAAAATCATATTTTAATCATCTATATTAAGAATGTGTTCAAATTATTTTGAAGACCCCTTTCGATCATTACTTCATCATCATTCTCATTTTACTTATCATTATTACTAGTGTCTTTAATGAAGATGGATAAGTTAGGGATTTAAAAATACACCCACAAAAGAGGAAAGGTTTGCCCTTGCTGTTTTTTGTCATAATTCTTTATGGACTCCTTCTTTTCCCTTGTTGTTTCAGTTTATTTTTTTTTTGCAGGAAAAGATTTTATTCCTAAAAATCTGTATAGTTTTACCAGAGACCAAGGAATTGTATAGTATACAAATCCTTGCAGAGACCTATAATTTTGTTTTTATGACAATAATTCAATGATAGTGTTTGCCTCAAATTACATTCGAAAAACAGCTTTTTCCCCAAGAGAAAATTCCCAATTACTAAAAAAATGGCTTAAAATTCCTCCCAATAAGTTGTACATTTTCCCCGAACAGTGATGGTATCGGTAGTAATGTATGTAAATTTTGTATTTATGTTATTATTTTGATATTATGAAAGCACTTTTGAGATCCAGGTTTCTGATTAGAATCATCAAGGCGTTTGTAACACACGTGGTTTTCAATGTATTAAGAACCATCATTGTTTCCTTTTCTTTCCCCTCCCCAAAAAGTACCTTTCATGTTAAAAACTATCTGACAATCAAAATATACGTGAATAAACTGTACAATAAAGACAGCAAAGGTCAGCAAAATATCTGGGATTTGTTGACAATTAAAATTTTGTGAAATTCCTAGTTTTAAACAAAATTTTGACTAGCCCGTCGGACTACTGTGATGAAAACTTTACTAGTCCTTCCTAATTTTTACTAGCCTCGGACTAGCGGACTAGCGTTAGTGTCGAACCCTGCACATGGTCTAGATAGGCAAAGAGGAGGTTTATGCGTACATAAAACAGAATTAACCCCACATTTGTGCTTGTAACAAATCAGGATATCTTAACTAAGTATTGTTCGTTATTGTTTGTATATCTATTTTGTCAGAGGAGTCCGTTGTTGGTGGTTGGTGTTATTCCTTGTACTGTCCAATTGTTTAGGTTATTTCTGGTTTCCTTTTATGTATTACAAAGTTTTTTTTTGAGGTAATCTAAAATAAAAACTACTCACTGGTTTTTCTCTAGGTATTGGTGTTTTAACATCAGGCAACTGAAAAGGAAAACAAATCTTTTCAATACACTGAAAAATAGTGATTTAGTTAAAAAGTAAATATCGGTCACATGTCATTAACTGTTGATACACCAACCTATGTCCTTCAGATCCAAAAATCAACAGGATTCTGGTCTGCAGGGAAATTATGTCATCTAACCTAAGCTTGTATTCACAGTCTCTGAAAGCCTTTATTCTTTTAAGTATAAAATCAAAGCACTGTCAATGCTGAGCCAGCCAATCACAAAAAAGCAGCATATCCATATATGTAAATTATTACATCAAATCGTTTCTTTACATATACGTTTTATTCAAAGCAATTGTTGGGAACTCTCTCTTCAAGCATTGATAACAATTTGTAATGCAACTTGTATAAAAAGTCTCTTACTTAAGTAGATTTTATCCTAGTAGAATTTGTTATTCATATAAAGAATAATCAACAGTTATGTGAACTTTTAAATGTCAACTTTCATAATTTTGAGCTGAGATATCTATGTACATGTATATATTTATTCAATTACTTCCAAATGCATACAATTCAATGGCAATGCCATCCTTACTTCTTATCAACTGATCAAAATTTAATTTTGTTCCCCCTTAAAATCTGAAATCTTGACACTGAGCCAGTTTGGCTGGCTCAGAAATGGTTTATTTTGGAAAAAAATTTGCAGGAACAAATAAGTGTCATAATGTACTTTTTACAAAAAACAAAATGTTGAATATAAATAAACTGATAATACGTTATATTTTTTTTGGGGGTGGGGCTGTCTCATTCATATCTATCTAACATCTACTTTTATTCATCTATACTATACTATGTTACCTCTGCAACTACAACTTCGTCTTCTCTGTGAGTTGGCAACTATAAAATAAAGCAAGTAATTATCTTATCCATGCGTGTAAATACTACTATCTTTACATTAGTTTTATGGTTTGGTGTCATTGATGTATAGCACAAAATTAACTAGATCTTTTTAACTTTTTTATTAGGATTTCAAGAAAAAATGTATCTTATATTATATATATTTTTGTCATGCCTTGAACAATTTCTTAAAATATCATTTGAAAGGATTGAAGAGTTTTTCTATTTTTGCCAACTTCAAGGGCCTGATAATGGCTAATACTTCATTCTTTGCTGCCAAATTTGAAAATTCATAACTTTTAACTGAAATGTATATATAATAATAACATATCTGTCAATTCTACAGGAACTACCTTCTTCTTCTAGCTAAAGGCATGAAAATATTAAAAACATCCATAGGCAAATTACATGTACTTAAACATTTTAAAATTAGCATTCAGTCACTTTGTTTTTTAAAAGATTGTAGAATAAAATTCAATATCCATGTTTGCAAAGTATTCCAACTAACCTGCCATATTCTGTTGATAAGTATCTGTGTGTTGTCTCTACTCAAATCTTTTAAATAATCTTCTCTATTCTTTCTACAAATATAGTAAATAATGCAATTAAGTGATTAATTATACAAACGCTTTTTTATGCTACATGTAAATAAGGAAATAATTCACGGAGGTTAATGGTTTGATGGAGATTTTATCATCATTGCAATTGCAGCTAGTGATTAATGATGATTTTAAAATAAGTAGTCCTATGTTGGGAACTTATCACACAAGACGGAGCACAATGCAGCTGCATAATTTGTAAGATTAAGAACATAGATGCTTATGGACTCTCCTAGAGTGCATTTTTTAATTGGCCTTTATGCAAGCAACTTAGACCATTAGGCTTGGTTGTAAATTAGGTTGATAACTGTTACATACTAGTCAAGTGTAAGGAATCGATTTGTCAATGTGTATATTTCAGTTCACCACAATCCTATATTTTGATCACTTTTATTTGCAATATAGGTAAATAACAATATTTTTCATCACATTTCACTTGTTTTTGTTTTGTGAAAATATAAGCTTAAAAAAATATATTGCCTAGTATTGCCCAGTATTACCCAATTATGGGGTATTGCACATTCCACCCAGGTAATACTTTGCCAATCCAGAGTCTGAAGCAGAGTTAGAGCAGATACAATAAACTGCTTCGCTGAGTGCAGCTGGATACGCCTGCAGACGTTTAACCCTGAACAGTTGGGGCAAAAATGGACACAATATTCAAGCTTGATACAGGTCTGAACTTGGATTGTAATAAAATATTTGACATATTATAGGTTTCTGAATAAATGTAGTCTAAGAACTTGAAATTGGTTATATGAATTGAATTTATATTCATTTAAAGATTTCTTGCTGTTGTGGAATACACTGTGCTGTTGCGCAATACTTAGTAAATCTGTTGTCAGACTATAAACAAATAAAGATCAATTTCTTCTCAATGTTATATTTGAAATTTATGAAAATCAATAGGGAGATAACATCAATAGCTATAAATAATTCACCAAAGTTTCATGAGAACTGCTGAAAGCATTTTTGAGTTATTGTCCAAAAACTGGAAAATCGCCCTTTTTTATGAATAAAACTCTGTAACTCGGAAACGTAAAATCTAAAATTTATAAAAATCGAAAGGGAGCTCATGTCAATAGATATAAACAATTCATTAAAATTTCTTGCAAGTTGGTGAAAGCATTCTTGAGTAATTGTCGGAAAACTGGAAAATCCCCCCTTTTTTAATGAATAAAACCCAAAAACTCGGAAACGGTAAATCTGAAATTTATAATAAACGAAAGGGAGCTCACGTCAATAGATATAATCAATTCACCAAAGTTTCATGCATATTGGTTAAAGCTTTTTTGAGTTAATGTCCGACATGTTGACAACGGACGGATGGACAGACAGACAGACTGACGGACGGTCAACGGTATACCATAATACGTCCCGTAAACAGGCGTATAAAAATAAGGTGGATGGATAAATTGTTGTACCGACCTTGCAGCAGATAAGGAAATCAAAATGCCTGTTTCAGCCATATAAAAAACCAGACAGATTAAGGTTATATTTAATCAACTATACAAGTTACAAATTATATAGGTGGTAAAAAGACAAGGTGAATATTTATGTCATTTACATTCAGGAAAACGTTTTACTTATTGTTTCGTTTCAAAGAAACGTGCAAAGGTTAGGTAAATTACGAAATTTAAAAAATATCAGAACATTGTAAATTTATATAACAAAACTTGCATTCATTTTTGTTAAAGTGAACAACTTCTACACCTCACTCAATAATGGGATAAAATAAAAATGAAAAATCAAATATTTCAATAAAATAATAAATTTTCTAGGGGACAATTCAGGACTGGCACAAAAAGCATTTACTTATTTAAATAATCTGATCAATTGGTGTGTGTCCTTTAAGATCCTGTTATCTCAGAGGTGATAATTACATGATGATTTATTTGTCCACAGTTGGATTATCAGATATCAAATACATATTCCATGTATTATTTGAAACTGTCCATGTATGACATACCTCAGCATTGTATTTTTTCTATTCTCTATTATCATAAAACAATATTATATTAATCAAACTTTAAAGTCAAAAGAAAACATAATAAATTATCGTAATGCAAGGTGTAATTTAAGAAGCATTTATAAGGGGTTATAATGAATTAACCAATTTAATTGTCTTATTATCATTTAAAGACACATTGTGTTTAAAATTAGTCATTAGTCAGTGACATAATTGGTGTTTTTCAACTTTTTTCAATTGGAGTTTAATTTTTTTTAATATAAAATCAGATTTGATCGATCTTGTTGTGAAAGTGTCCATAGTTACAGTTTATGGAACTAATAGAAATAAAGTAAAATTTATGTGATACATCGGAATAATTCAATGTTTAAGAAATGGTAAGATGAAATTTACATAAGACTTTCATCCATTTTACTGTGACTTGACTGTAAGTGTTGCTCTCCACCTATTGCAATTTATTCCAAATTTTGACCAAATTGCAATTTGTTTTATAAAACCAAACTGTTCAACTGGTAAGAAACTTGAACAAACTGTTGTAGAAAACCTCAGTCAAGTGCAAGGTGATAAAATTAAGCATACTTACAATCCTATAAGACTTTAATTCCACTTCAATGATATTGTGAAAAATCAGTATAACAATTTTTATACATATGTTATTGTTATTGTCATGCTAAAGGTGATAGGTAGTAATTTTGAATTGCTATAAAAATGTCCAAACTAAGTTTTCATACAATTTTTCTTTCGAAAAGTCTTCTATATTCATAAGAATCAGACATCGTTTGAATAAAAATGTCTTATATCTATTAGAATAGATGTGAAATTACAATACGTTGTTAGGAAGTTTCTATGGGAGATGATAAATTTTTCTTTCGAAAAGTCTTCTATATTCAAAAGAATAATGATTTTAGGTTATCTCTCATGGAAACTTATTAACAACATGTTGTAATTTCACATATATTTTGAATAAATTGCAATAGGTGGAGAGCAACACTTACAGTCAAGTCACAGTAATGCTTTTTGTATCTTGCTCACTCTGTTGTTTAAACATTTTTGTGATGTCATCAATTTTTGTGCTTCAGGGGTCATTGCATTTCAGAAATTTATTTACCTGATGAACAATTTTAACCCATGTCAGATTTTCTCTAAATGCTTTGGTTTCAATTTGGATTGTAATTAAATATTTGACACATTATAGGTTTCTGACACAGAATAAATGTAGTCAATGAACTTGAAATCGGTTATATGATTTGAATTTATATTCAATTGAAGATTTCTTGCTTTTGTGCAATACACTGCTGTTGCTCAATACTTACTAGTAAATCTATTTTCAGACAATATACAAAGAATTAGCAAAATAAATTGTGACCGCCAATTTTTTTTCGGAAAATTGACAATTTCTTAAATCTTGAGGAAAAAAAATTGACCCCCCATAAAAAATTTGTTACCCTCTCCCCCCTTTTCCCCAAAAAAATATATTTGCTGCGAAATTTTCTTAAAATTACCAATTCAGGGGCAGCAACCCAACAATGGGTTGTCTGATTTGTCTGAAAATTTCAGGGCAGATAGATCTTGACCTGATGAACAATTTTACCCCATATCAGATTTGCTCTAAATGCTTTGGTTTCAGAGATATAAGCCAAAATCTACATTTTACCCCTATGTTCTATTTTAAGCCATGGCAGCTATCTTAGTTGGTGGGCTGAGTCATCGGACACATTTTTTAAACTACATACCCCAATGATGATTGTGGCTTAGTTTGGTTAACTTTGGCTCAGTAGTTTCAGATTTTTGTAAAAGTTAACGACGGACAACGACAACGGACGACGGACGCCAAGTCTCAGTCTCAGGGAGAAGTCACTTCACCCAAAAATTCTGAAGTGCAGTGACTCCTGTAACCAAACCAAGCTATCAAATGTGTTCAATAACTATTGGAAAACAGTTAGATAAATGTTCTGATGGTAATCTTAAAACATTATTATGATCATGTATGTGAATCAAATTTTGGTTTTGAGAACTATCTCACATTGCTTAAGAATTTTGAACTGGGAAGTTTTCCAAGGTTACATATTTATTCACATAAATTACAAATAAAACTGGGTAGTTATCAAGGTATTCCCTGACACAACAAAATATGTACTTCCAGTACTGTTCAGTGTTTTCCCTAGGCTATTCTAGCATTGTGGTACCGCTACGCATAAATTTCGACCGCCATGCTTTCATCATTGCCGCAATGCATCCCGCTATGTGTGAAAATTATAACTGTGTAAAATATTATTATCGATATTTTGAAAGTGAAGTGACATGTGACAACAATCCACAGGTGTTTTAAACTCATCCGACCGATAATTGGATGCATCACGTCACACATTCCATGATTTTACAACCTTCTTATACATCGAGACTTCGGTTACATAATAGAAGTTGCCAGTTAGCTGATAAATAAATAGTCAGATTAATCTCCAATGCATATCTTTCTGTGCTAAATAAAAAGTTTAACCTTTTCCAGTATAAATTTCACCTTTAAAACGGGTGTTTTGACATCATTATTTTACTGTGATCTTTAAAAAAGTAGAAGTTTAAAATTTGGTATAGTCCTTGGTATTATAAAATAAAACTAACGTAAATTCACCGAGATTGACAAAACATTATTTTTTAATAAAGTTTCCCAGTTATTTCATCAGCTACATTTACATCGATGAATTAATTTTTGATTGGTCGCAACCGTCAGTTATTTTTAGATTAGTAGCGGTTGATTGATTATATCAAAGAAAACACATCACCGCCACCGGGCCCAGAAAAAGACGTGTCTTATGAAATATTTAAAAGATTTGATAAAAAAACTTTCAAAACATACGTAGTTATTTACGGAAATATTGTTTTTAATAAACTTGTGTTGTTCTATTTTTATTTCAATGGGTCATAAGCTTATGTGTAGCGGATTCATTTTTTACACAAATGGGGCTTAATTTCTTTCACTTCGGCAAGATAGGATTTTTACAATTATGAAGCGTTATAAATAAATCGGACAGGGATGTATTTAAAAAAAATAGTTAATTGTCATGAAATAAAATGCCAGCTTATACCAAACAGGTAACTTTTTTTTAATGTTTCCTGTAAAATCTCTTTGAAGCAATGATGACATTCAAAGTTTTATTTAACAACTTGCTGTTGATGTGAAACCATTCTATCTGCAAAATTCGAAGAACAATCATCATTTTGACAACCATGTCCAATCAACCGTCAAAGAAACGTCGCCTTACTGGCCAAACTTTTTTGACAAGTTGGATAGAGAAGTCTACTCCTTTATCAAATTGTAGTCAGAAACACTGAGGACACTAGTACTGTTAGTGAAAGAATGTAAAGACATGACATTTAGACAGACAATGAACAAAGTTGCCAGTCTTGGAACTTTGTATCCTTGTCTGTCTAAGTATGCAACAATTGGTATTGTTTTGTCAGTTTCAACAGCTGATTGTGAAAGGTGTTTTTCATGTTTAAACAGAGTTAAAACACCTTTTAGAAACAGACTATGCCAAAAAGTGCTGAATTGCTTAATGCATATATCAATTGAAGGACCAAAGGAGGAAGATTTTGATTTTGAAAAATGTGTGGTGACCTTTGGAAAGTTGAAACAGAGGAAGATATCAACAAAATAATGTGTACATGACATTAATTTGTAAATAAGTATTGCAGACTGGATTATTTTTATTATTGTTTATAAGATCTTTCATTAATTCCTCTCATCTGTGATAAATACTTTAAAGTTCCATAATATGAATTGCTGTACCTATAATAAAACAATTAGATTGGTATATGGCTTTAAACATATAAATTATGTAGTGTAACTAATTTTGAAAAAGAAGCTTCGCGTGCCGTGTTGCAAATTCAACATGGACCCACCATGCATTAAAAATTTTCTAGGGAAGACACTGCTTTTGAAGATGACTCATTTTTTTTGCCTGCACAAAATTCAAGGATGAATGAGGTAATATGTTGTCTATCGCTAGCATTGCAAAAGTTAATACTTATTTTAAAAAAAGAACAGAGTTCCAACGTCCCCCTCATTGCACATATTTTATCCATCCATCGTAGAAGGGTAATAACTAGAAAACCCTTTTTTGTTTTGTTCTTTAAAACAAATTATAATATACTATAAGTTTTGTAAAAATCTGGCAAGAATTGTACCCTTGAGAGCGCTAACGAGGCCATTTTCCATAAATTTAATATTTCCAAGGGGCATAACTCTTTTAAAATAAATGGATGATGCCCCCACTTGCATATAACGTTAAAACGGGACATAACTCAAGAACTGTAAAAGTGACGCTACCCAAATTTGTACTTGATATGAGTTTTGTGGTAATAAGCATTGTGTATACGTTTCATAACATTTAGTTGAGGCAAACTTAAGTAAGAGAACCGAAACGAAAATTTCAGCAATTTTTCCATTTGTAAAGGGCATAACTCTAGAACGGTAAAAGTTATGCCACCAAAATTAGAACTTGATCTGTGTTTTGTGGTAATAAGCATTGTGTATAAGTTTCATAACATTTGGTTTTAGGCAAACTAAAGTTAGAGAAGGGAAACGAAAAATTCAGCAATTTTTCCATTTGTAAAGGGCCATAACTCTAGAAGGTAAAAGTGACGCCACCAAAATTCGAATTTGATCTGTATTTTGTGGTAATAAGCATTGTGTAATAGATTCATAACATTTGGTTGAGGCAAACTAAAGTTAAATGAAAAAAAAATTCAGCAATTTTTCCATTTGTAAAGGGCATAACTCTAGAATGGTACAACTGACGTCACCAAAATTCAAACTTTATCTGTGTTTTGTGGTAATGAGCATTGTGTATAAGTTTCATAACATTTGGTTGAGGCAAACTAAAGTTAGAGAACGGAAACGAAAAATTCAGCAATTTTTCCATTTGTAATGAGGCATAACTCTAGAATGGTACAACTGACGCCACCAAAATTCAAACTAGATCTGTGTTTTATGGTAATAAGCATTGTGTATAAGTTTCATAACATTTGGTTGAGGCAAACTAAAGTTAGAAAACGGAAACCAATTTTGGGACGTACGTACGGACGTACAGACGGACAAGGGTAAAACTTAATGCCCCCTCAGCTACAGACTACAGTGGGGGCATAAAAAGTTGATCGTCTACCACTATAGAACTTGTCTGAGATATTGCTGATATTAACCTATAGCATAAGTTTTATAAAAATCTGGCAAGAATTGTACCTGTGAGAGCGCTAACAAGACCGGACGCCTGGTATTTCCATGTACCCTGCAACGTGTTACGCGGGGGACAATAATTTGAACAATTTAACATGATTTGGTGTAGAAAATGTTGATTTACTTACAATAATATGTAATTTT